TGTGTGTGTGTGTGTGTGTGTGCGTGCGTGTGTGTGTGTGCGTGTGTGTGTATGGGGGGGCAGATATGGAGCTAAACCTGTTCTGTTCATTAAGAACTCCAATCAAAGGGGTTGGGGGGATGGCTAGGTAGTTAAGAGTGCTTGGTGCTCTTCCAAAGGATCCAGTTCAATTACCAGCAACCACATCAGGCAGCTCATAACTGCCTGTAACTCCACATCCAGGGGATCTGATGACTCTGACTTCCACAGGCACCTGCACTCATATGTCCGTACACAAACATTTATGTGATTAATAAATGATAAAACAAAAAAAATTAAAGACAACAATTACAATTAAAGACAGTGTATGACACTTGGCTCAGACAGAGGAAAGCAGTGTTAAAGAAAAAGGGAGCACTTACTTATTAATAGTTTGCCAGTCACCACTTATGTGCTGATGACATTCAAGACTTGACCTGACAGCTTCTCCAGTGCTAGGCACTTCCAGATTTGTTAGCAGAATTCTTCCTTCTTTGGTTACAGCTGTTATATCATTCTGTACAAAGGTACAACAGAATGTGTCAGCTAGTCAGTAATCGAACCTGAATGACTTGGAGTGAGGGGAATATACTCGTATGTGTAGCACATGGAATAGAGGCGCTTCTGGAATAGCTTTTGCTTTCACAATATTTTATGATCACAGAATTTGCAAGATGTGAGGATCTGTGGCTTGAGAGATACCTCAGTTGGTAAAGTGCTTGCCTTGCAATCATGAAGACCTGGGTTAGATAGCTATAACCCACATTAAAATAAAAAATGCCAGGCACCAGTTTATAATACCAGAGATAGGGAAGTAGATATAAGTGGGTCCCCAGGATGCCTTGTCCAGTCAATCTAGCCCTACCTGACTCCAGGACAATGAGAGACTTTGTCTCAAAAAACAAGGTAGATAAGCTATGGGTGGCATCCCTTAATCACAGCACTCAGGAGGCAGAGGCAGGCAGATCTCTCTGAGATAGTGGCTAGCCTGATCTACATAGTGAGTTCCAGACCAGCTGGGGCTACAGCGAGGACCGTCTCATAAAAACCAAAGAAAAAGAAAAAACACAAGATGGTCAGTGAGCATGAGGGAAAATCACATCTGAGGTTGTCCTCTGGCCTTCATGCACACATGCACCTGCATACACATGAACACACACACACACACACACACACACACACGCACACACGCATACACACATACTCACAACATGTAAGGATTCAAGAAGCTCCTGCCTTACAAATGGACACCAAAGTCCCTAGTTGATGAAATCCTTAGATGCCGGAAGTGGAAGTACTTCATATGTTGTTTCTAGCCTCCTGTTATGGACAGCAAGTCCTAACCAATCTCTTTCTATTCTGCTAATATTTTAAATGTGCTCAGTAAAGCCATATTAACACAATAACAACTGCAATATCAGAAAGCACATAGTTACAACTAAGATTTAATGCATATTCAGAGAGAATTCCCTTTCTTATTGATCCTTAATTACTACCAATCAGTCCCTGTTTCGAGTCTTAATTTACTACATGTTTGGGTATAAATAACACTATGAAGCATATTCCTATATTCAAAAGGTCTAGTAATTTAAAAACAGACTCAGGCCAGGCATGATGCTGCATGACTTTACTCCCATCACTTTAGGGGCAGAGGCAAGAGGATCATCTTGAATTCCAGGCCAATTTGGTCTACATAGCAATTTCCAGGCCAGCCAGGGCTACACAGTGAGACCCTGTCTCCAATATACATATATGCATAGGCATATACACACAGCTCAATAATTAAGATTTCTTTCAGAATGTTCAAGAGACCTATATAGTTTCAAGCAAATAAAATTGAGTGTGGCACCACCACATTGGAGTATGTACTTAACATGTGTGAGGCCCTAGGTTTAATCCACAGCACCAAGAAAAGAAAAACAAACACAAAGTCAAACAACTAATATTTATAAAACATAAATGTTGTACTAAAAACCTGTTGCATATACACTTTACACTTTATCTCATTTCATCACAACAGCTGTGTACAAATGAGTCGTGCAAGCCAGGTGTGGTAGATAGCACAAGCTTATAATGGAAGAACTTGAGACAGTGAAAGCAGGAGACTCAGGTTCGAGGTGAGTGTCAGCTGTGAGTTCAAGGCAAACCTAGGCTACAAGAGAGACTGTCTCAAACAACAACAAAATAGTCATGGATATCATCATCATCATCACCTTACTGCACACTGAAGGAAACTGAAACTCACAGGAGAGAGTATACAAATTATCCAACTATGAAAGAAACTAGTTTTCTTTCTTTTTTCAAATGAGTTTTCTTTTTCATGGACAGGGCTTTACTTTCAGATTATGATGCAAATATTAAGCTTCTTTTAATTGGAACATAGCACTCTATATAGCGTCCAAACCTGCCAGAGGACCCAGTACTCCTATTACAGGTGAAGGAAGTATGTAATACTCAGGTGCCTGGTGCTTGTTCAGGTTTTCATTAAGCTATTTTTTGAAGTAAATGACTCTAAAAGTCAGATTGTCAGAAATGGGCCTTTGCCACCCCAGACAGAACTGAGTAGGAAAAAACACCAATTCTCTAGTGTCGCTCTACTATAAAATACACTGAGCACTGGCACTACGTGTGGAAGCTTGCAATCAACTAAGCAATATTGTTGGCCTTTCTCACAAGTCCTTCTTGGCAGAGATGAGAAAAGAAAACAGATCTCCTGGCTCCACCACCCATTGCACATGGTACCTGTGGTGGGCATTTAAACAGAGCACCTGTCCAACTCTTGACTCCTAACCTTGTCTTCCAAATGACAGGACTTTTCCATAACATGAAGAGTATAGGGTTTTTTTCTTTAATTATTTATTTAATAACCACATACTAAGAGGAAGCATTTCCTTACAAAAGCATTGACATATTCAACAACAATTTCCTGAGCTAAGATGCATCTCTTTCAAAATTGGCTGTAAATTTTTAGGATTACAGTTGAATTATTACAGTTATACAATATTGTACTCAGTATAAGACCTATAAGACATAAAATTAAATGAGGTTTTAACCTTTAAAAAAGATCTCCATTTCATTATTAAAATACACAGTTTCATACAGAAAAATTCATTTTAAGGCAATTGACATTGAGACGTTTTCACATGCATTTCTAATCTCTAAATATCTGATTATTACTAGTCACAGTCAGTTACTTTCTGAGCTCCTTGGCATCTGAGCATGGATAAAAGGCATCAGGTAAATTTCAATGGTAATGTTTTTCACATCTATTAATTATTAAGGAGAAAATGTTTATGTGTTGAAGAATTATTATTTTTTAATCATTATTTTTAAAATTTTTTGCCACATGATTAGAAGAAGCAATTTTTTTAACTCGTGTTAAGATATGTGCTCCAGCAGCTTGGTGAACGTTTATGTACTTGTTCGGCTCTCACTACTCCTCCCATCAGGACAAAGTGAAATTGGGTTGTTTTTGAGTCCCATAACTCAGGCTTCTCTGTGTCTGTCTGTCTCTCTTTCTCTCTGTCTCTGTCTCTCTGTCTCTCTCTGTCTCTGTCTCTGTCTCTCTCTCTCTCTCTCTCTCTCTCTCTCTCTCTC